CAAACTCTAACCATGACATCAAGAAGATAAATGTTCGAACCTACCCCAAAATAGATACATCAAGAGATCTATTGGCTACAGTAGAGGCTCACGGAGATTGATGACGGCGGGACTCAGAGGGAAATTACCTTTGATCGTTATATGGAGAGTTGACAGGGAGAAAGGGACGAGAACATGAATTCCTTCCATAGGGAGGACTTCATTGATGAGGAGAATAGACCTCGACTCTTAGGAATTCATTATCATAGGCCGAGAGAGGAGGCGACATATAGAGAAATTAGAGATTTCAGAATAAACCGAAGATTAACGGAGGGATGGATCCATACGACTTTATCGAATGGTTGCAGTCGATTGAGAGAATCTTTGAGCATGAGATGCCAAAGGAAAAGGGAGTGAAATAAGCGACCACCAATTGAAAAAAAGCACTTCCTTATGGTAGGAAAAGTTGCAGAGGTAAAGAAAAAAAGTGACAAAATTACTAGATGGAAGAAGATGAAAAAGGAGATGCAAAAGAAATACTTATATCCTCATTACCGTTAGGGTATGTTTCTGAGGCTTCATCACCTACAGCTCAGAGATCTATTAGTGGAGGAATTCACGACACGGTTTGACTAGCTTCAGATGAAATGTAAATTGGTGAAGCCAGAGGAACATACTATAGCCTGATACCTAAGAGGCTTGAAACCAACTATTAATAAATGGTGAAGCCAGAGGAACATACTATAGCCTGATACCAAAGAGGCTTGAAACCAACTATCAATAAAATTGTGTGAATGCAGCTTTATTGGTCATTGGGCGATGTCCAAACCTTAGCCTTGAAGGTGGAGAGACGATAAAATCAAAGCATGCAACCACCACCATTCAGACAGTCACCCGCTGTTGGAGACATCAGTACACCTCGGGGAGTTGAGAAGTTTGACCGGGATAAGGATAGTCATTCAAAGTGAGAAGTCTGAGAAAAGCAGCACGCCTACTACAGTTCAACCAAGAAATGCTTCAAATACCATGAAGCATATCGCCTCCAGTTGCCCGACAAGTCGAGTTGAGCCTTTTACTGTGAGCAAGGCGCAATGGAGCAAATTGGCAACAAAGAGGCAGCTGAAGAAAAGAGAGAGTAACATCTTCCATTGAATGAGGGTGAGATGCTCGTGATTCGACAGGTCCTACAGACAAGAGATACGAGGAAGCAACAGTGGCTCGCCGCAACATATTCTACACTTGTTGCATTGTGAAAGGAAAAGCATGCAGACTCATCAACGATGGAGAAATTGAGTCTTATGACTCAGAAGCATTCTCAGTCATATTCCCTGACATGATTGAAGAAGAAGAATTTAGTCAACATTGGTAGGAGGTATCTCGTAGAGCTTTCAATTGAAAACCAGCTGCAATATCAAGTGTGGTGTGACATGGTGCCCATGGACGTCTGTCACCTTTTGTTGGGTAGACCATGGACTCAACACAGAAACACCTACTCCTTCATCAAGGATGGCAAGCATATCATCCTTCTACCTTCTTCTAAGTCTGAGATCACAGGTGCCCTTACCAACCGGAAGGTCAATGGGATCACTTTTGTTGACCATAGAGGAAGATAGGATTGGGACACCGATTCCAGAAATGGGACAGTCACGACAGAGAGCATTTCAAGGCATCATTATCAATATCTTACTATCATGGCCACCATCGTTCAGGTAGGTTCAGGTTATCTCCACTTCAGATCAGATTGAGCCCACCATAACTTACTTTGGGAGGATTCAACATAATATATATGACACAAAGTCCCAGTTCAATTCAGTAGTGTACCCCCAAATGGTTGGACTGATATGGATATATGCTCGCAAGGGGACTTACCGATACTAAAAACAGGCTCTGAACCTGAAAGAGGGGCACGAGCAGGAATAGGAAAGTTGTCGGCAAGTGCAGTTGCATAGGAATGAAGCGTCGAGGCCACCTCCCCCATAAGATGGCCACGGGGCGGGGGGAGCCGCAAGGAAAGCAAGCCGGCACTGTATGTCGGGTAGGAGAGCACCAGTCGCGTTGTCTGGAACGAGCGAGGAGACGACTGCGAAGGAGAAGAAAAACACCGTCGTCTATAGGATCAGACGACATCGACTGGAGCGATCATCGTCGACTACGGGAGACAACAGGGAGTGATCGACTTTGTTTGCCAGCTGCGCGTACATCGTCGTGGGAGACGACAAAGAGAGTGGGAGACGACGAAGATAATGGGAGAAGCCGATAGATTCACCGTCGGGAATCGCCATCGGCCGAAACCCTAGCAGAGATATGGCATAACAATCTTTACAAAAATAAATAAATAAATAATAAAGAATAATAAAAAAATAAATAAATAAAATAAAAAATAAAACAAATTTCAAATAAATTTCATGCATAAATATTTCAAATGTCCGAACACTGATGATAGCCAAGTTTTTTGAAAATTTCAACTTACAGAGGTCAACTTTTAAAGCTAAACCAAGATTTTCGAACCAAAATGCTCAAAACAACTAAATCAAAATGTTCAAGTTAAAACTAATCGCTTGAAAGACTTTAAAAAAAATCATTCACTCTTCACAATACTTTGTTAAGGGTGACAACTATTGATTGACTTCATCTCTCAAAGAGTGAATGTGACATCAAGTATATCATTATATTTACACTTGAACCAATCTCACGTTGGTATGTGGCCTGAGTCATTTGACCATGTGATTCAGCCCAACGGCCTCACAAAAATTAGTAGTTATATCCAGAACCTTCTAACTATGTGGTTTACCGCTAAATGACATTATTATATTACGGTCACGGTCGCAGCCTATATGTTCTCCAATGACTTTCTACCCTTTGAGTTGTGAACCAAAAAAATATATTCGATTGACACAAAGTCTTATGTCAGTTAAGGTCGACTTAAAATTTTTCCCTTATACAAACATTCACCCCAAATCTACAAGAATCCCATAGACAACGCAACCCGTAGTTGCTAACAAGAATCATTTAGTCGGACTGGGTTGATTATCTCCTCTAACTAAATAGATTAGAGACCACAACGACCCAAGAGGACAAAATCATGGGATCTTAATCGAATTTATCATCATTTCCCCCACCATTCGACTTTAACCTCAATGTGATAAATTTTATAATCTAAATCATAAATATTGTACTATATGTCGAATACTTAGTATTTAATGATAAATCTTAATCAAAAGGGTTCTCCCATTATCATTAGGGGTAATTAATCAAAGCAGCTTGTGCATAAAGCCAAACCCAACTAACAAAAACAAAGAAACAAATGGGTAGCATAAAGTTGTAGGTTATTGATGGTGAATTGCCAAATACTGGGAGCTACATCCACCTCCGGTATATAGATGAAAGCACAAAAATAAACATCAGACAGTGTATCTATGATTAGCATTCAAGTTTGGGTAAAATGATGATTAGTATTTACCTGCCAGACAATAGAATGGTGCTGGAACCCTTCCGTCATGACATATTCTGCATAAATAAAATCCCAGCTAGAAAAGAAAGCATGCATTAGATGACAACCAAATTTATTATAATCATTAGCATTTTCATAACTACTTGAACTGGACTTTAATAAATCATTATCTTTAGGGGCATTTACATGCAAACCACCCAATTCCCATGCATTTACATATCTAACACCTAAAAATTGCTTTTTGACATTTATGCCACCCACATCTTTCATATAACATCAAAAATACCACTATTTTTAACTTTTGAAAAATGAAATACACCTTTTTATGCATAAGTAAGGACGCATATATGTAAAAATTAAAGTTTAGGTGTTAGATGTGTAAATACATACGAATTGAGTGGTATGTATGTAAATCTTCCTATTCTCTATTAATTCTGATTGAGTGTCATATAAAGTAAATTTTTCGAATTGAGTGGTATGTATGTAAATCTTCCTATTCTTTATTAATTCTGATTGAGTGCAAAACTTATGATCATGTTAAGCTAAGGTCACATTTCATTTCTAATCCTTCAACATTAGTTATTTGCAAAGTGATGCAGGATTGTGCATCTGTTCCCAAGATGTTAACTTTGTTGCTCGCTACTAGGTGTTGTTATCCAATGTTAAGTTTTCAGAATTTCGTTACTATTTACCCTGGTTTTATTACGCCTGTGCTATTTTCTCAATTATTGTTGTCAATTTCCCCCCTACGGGTTCCAACCTTCACGGCAGTGTGAGCGTTTGATATCAAATTTTTTTATTCTTCCATCTTTGCTAAAAGTGCAAAATTGGTGACAAAATAATGGTTAGAATTTAATGTTTATCTGAAATTTAATTAGAATAATCTTTGCCAACTATCAAATTTAGGGATGAGGAGGCTATAAGTGGATGATCTTAGATATAAAATTAGATATTTTTTATCGAATGAAATTTATACTTACAATTTCAATTTTGTGTGAACAAATTGGATACGTGAGTCTTCTTAAGTGCGGTACAACTACCTAATTATGTATTTCCATTTTGCTATTACACAAACGTTATAACCACCAGATGAAATAAATACAACAACAAGCAATTATATAAAAATATATGGTGGTAAAATAATCAAAAAACAAAAAACATTGAAACATGACAACAAAGAAGAAAGTGGTCATCTCATAGATGAAAAGATACCTATAAATCAAGTATTTCAAGAGTAGTCATTTGATGGATTATTGTGCCTTGCTTGCAATCTAGTGAATCATCGTGTGTGAAAAATATTCTTTTTTTCCTTATTTCAGCAGCCTATGTCAAAAATGATTTGAAACCTTCTACTTGTGCTTCTGAAGCACTCGGCGTACTACAATAAAAGCATATGAACACTCAGATTCACGGTCAACAACATCCTCAATAATAAAGCAATCATGAGCCAGATGGAGTTCCTGACATATCCTTGATACTCTGATTGCCAGATGGAGTTCCTGATATATCCTTGATACTCTCGGCGTAAAAAACAGTGGAAGGCTCTAAATTTATGGCAAGATCTAAAATTCATTCCAAGACTTTGGTAAAATTCAAATTTGAAGTAAGAGATCGTTATCTCCACTTCAATGAACTTTTTTTTTAGCTATTGTCCAATGGCTTGCAAATGTTAACAATTTTATCTAATTTGACAGCTGGAATTCTGATGATGGTGAATAAGTTCAATTGCTTATTAATTTGTTGTGGTTAGAATTCCACATTGATTTATTTAAATTTATTTGATCATTATATTACTATATGAGTTATAATTCTCGTAATTATTTTTTACATTAAATGAGAGCGAGTGCTCATATTTAGTGGCTTCTTATGAAGCACGAAAGCTAATAGTTTTTGTGTTTGTGACAAACAAACACCAAACATAGACACAACTTAAATTTATATCTCAATATGTTTTCTTCAAAATCAGAATCAAACGAAACATCAACACAGCTTTAAATGGCCACAACACATACATGACATGTTACAAACAATTCATTACATATTTTTTGGTCAATTTGATTCTAATATAGTGGCATCTTAAAACTCCCATTTTGGCATATATAACATTCATTTTTTGCTCAATTATTTTCATCTATTTGCATCACACCTCGACTATGTAACTCCTCATAAATAATAATAATAATAATAATAATAATAATAATAATAGATAGGAGATCGGAAACGGCTAATTTGGGGTGAAGGCGAAATCGAAGGGCAGAATCAAAAAAGGTATCCTGCGGGTGCAAGCAACATGCGAACAAGGGCAATGCCGACGATTGATCTCGCGCTAGCAAAAGGAAGTGAGTTTGAGATGTGCACGCATGATTGAGAAGTGTGGGAAGCATACTCATGCTAATGAGCGATATTAGATGATAGAGTGGGAGATTAAGCCAAGCGGAGGATAGCAGATGATGCCAGTGGTGAGCAGACCAACAGGCAAGTACATTTTGAGCTGCTGGTGTGCACAAATAATGAAAAAAAACACGAACAGACTCTGGTTTCAAGCAAGAGACTGCAATAGCAAGGAGATAGAGCATCCAAGCATGAACAAACAATCAAGTGTTGAATTGGTCCTCTTCGATCTCATGGCCATATGCAGTCACGTGCAAGGGATGTTAGAGTGGGAGGTTCAATGCACAAGATTGAGCATTAGGCCGCTAAGTTAGATTTGGCGTGGAAGAGCACCAAATAATGACATATAAGTACTTAAACTTTATGAATTATAAATTACAGATTTTTATAATATTTAAGATAAGTAATATCATGGCAGGAGATAACCTGGCGAACTGAAACATCTTAGTAACCAGAGGAAAATAAAGCAAAAGCGATTCCCATAGTAGAGGCGAGTGAAATGGGAGACTCCTAAACCATGAAAACAGGGTTGTGGGAGAGTAATACAAGCGTCAAGCTGCTAGGCGAAGCGGTGGAGTGTTGCACCCTAGATGGTGAGCGTCCGGCGAGAGTCCAGTAGCAGAAAGCATCACTGGCTTACGCTCTGACCAGAGTAGCATGGGGCACGTGAAAACCTGTCTGAATCAGCAAGGACCACCTTGCAAGGCTAAATACTCCTAGGTGACTGATAGCAAAGTTGTACCGCAAGGGAAAGGTGAAAAGAACCCCCATCGGAGAGTGAAATAGAACATGAAACCTTGAGCTCCCAAATAATGGGAGGAGAATGTGATCTCTGACCGTGTGTTTGTTGAACAACAAGCCAGCGACTCATAGGCAGTGGTTGGGTTAAGGGAATCCACCGTAGCCGTATTTAAAGATTATTTTTAATATTTTCAGGAGAAAGAAGAAAGTGATCGACATTTACTCATCCGCCAAACAAAAAAAAAATTAAGATAAGATTTAAAGTGGTGCTTTAATTTAATTATTTACAACTAGTATTTATTTAACTTTCATTATTATAAAATATGAAATAATTTAAGCCAATGTTCATGAATGTTAGATATTTCTTTGAAAAATAAAATAAAATTTAGTTAATGTAAATAAATTTATGATTATCTTTTCTTATACAATGTGATAGATATGTAAATATTATAAAATAAATTGGGAAAGTAAATTGACATTAAATGAGTGTACTACTGAAAACTTTATCATAATTATGAAATGGAACTAAATGAAAATGATGATATGTTTAAAATTAAATATAATATTAAGTTATATGAATTTAAAATAAATTAATTAAAAATTAACCAGTGGAGGCGTCACGACCAGTGGCTCAACGGAGGAAGACGACCGTCGATGTCGAGCTTGTGGGCAAGAGCTCGAGTGCAGTCATCAAGGGGAGATGAAAGGAGCTCGGGCATCGTGTCGGGTGACCGAAATCGATCGCCGATTGCAAGCAATGACAATGAAGGCCTTTGCCGAGCAGGGGAGGCTGTCACGGCCATGAACCTTGCAGTCTAGAGCAAAATCTAAGTCCAACGACATGTAGGAAGAAGGATACAAGCTCGAGCATAGCGAAGAGTTGGAAGTGAAACTATAAGATCATGTTAAGGTGACTTATATAATTTATATATAACGAATTAATTATGTATTTATAATTTTTATCAATGTGAAATAAAATTAACAAAAATTTTAATCAACGAAATATTAGTCATTAAAATAAATGTAATGTCAAATTTATTAATAAGATAAACTACAATTCTTATATAATTAAATCGTGAAATTATGTCAAATAAGAACATTAAAACATAGTGGAAATCTAATTTTAAAATAAATCATAAATTAATTTGTCAGATTTAAATAGATATAGGTTAGTATAATCTCGTAAAATGACATTAACATATAATAAAATATTGCTTTTAATACTAAAATAAAAAAATATATGTTCTAAGAATTAAATAAATGATTTAATAAGCAAGGATTGAACACAAATAACATATATATATATATATATAGCATAGACACACATAATTATTAAAATATATCTATGATTATAAAATTTAATAAGAATTATTTTACTTATGAGCAACAATGAATCATTTATATTACATTGTAATTGATAATAAGCTTTCTTTCGTAGAAGAGGTGGTCGAACATTAAAGTGAGAAAAATTATCCAACGTGAGGTGAGTATTCTTATTTTTAATATATGATAGTTTTTTGTCATTTATTGGCACCTGTTAAATTATATTGCGCGAGATTATTCTGATTTATATGCTCTTCTATTTATTGGTCATATCATTCTGAATGTTATGTCTTCATATAACAATGACTATTACACATTATTTAAACAAATATAAATTATGTTGTATGGAATGAGATGTGTGTGTGTTTGCGTCTGGGCGTGTAAAAATATATTCGCAAGCCCTGCGATTGTCTGCTTCTACAACGAAGGGTCTCGCGTTTCGTTGTTTCGTCGTTTTGCGTACTCCTGCGCTTTGTACCTCCTCACCCACACTCGACGACGTTTCCTCGATAGCGGTTCGCATCGTCTTCTGTACTAGATGACGCCTTTGCCCTGCCCAACAGAAATCGACATCGCCTCTGTCGCCCTACCCGACAGAAGTTCTGCTCGCCTAGCATCTCTTCAGATGGCTCCGACCATGCGTTCTCATGCCACTGCAGTTGTCGGCGACTTTCTTATTCTTACTCGTGCTCCTCTTTCAGGTTCAGGGTCTGGTTTTCATATCAGCAAGTCATGCAATATTCCAGAATCATTTCACGAGGCTCTTGAAGGTGGTGGCGATCACACCTTCATTAAAAAATTGGGAAAAAAATGGGAAACCTGCTCTTATTCTTACAGAGGTTGAAACCAAAACCAGTACTCTAGCATCTTCGTGGAGTTTTGCTCTAGTGGGTAAATTTTTTTATGTTCACCCAAAACTTGAGAGCATTCAAAAAGAATTTAATGCTATAAAGTTGTTGGGCAGTTGGAATATTAATTTACTAGACGGTCGACACATACTGATTCATTTGTCTCACGATGTCGATTACACTCACATTTTTTCTCGAAAAGTTATCAAGATCGATAACCGTTATATGAAAATTCTGAAGTGGACTGTTGGTTTTGATCTAAAAGTAGAGTCTTCTATCATTCCAGTTCGGATAAAGTTTTCGGGGTTAAAATTACATCTTCAACTTGGAAATTTTCCACTCCTTACCAACTGCTTACGGTAAGCCTCTCAAGGTTGATAGTCCTACGCTTGTTGTCACCAGACCCTCTGTGGCTTATGTGTTAGTTGAGAGGGATATCACTCAACCAGCTCCGGATGAGATATGAATTGGAACCACTCACAATGGGTATTGGCAAAAGGTTGAAATAGAACCACACCCTCCTTATTGCTCTCATTGCAGTATGATTGACCACAGCTCTATTATTTGTTATCGTTTGCATCCTCATCTAAGGTCAGATATCGCTAAAGATCAGCCACCTATCATCCATGTTAAGAAGATGCAGCCCGATCCTCTTTGCAACACCGCAGTTCCTGACGAAGAACAATAAAGATCAGCCACCTATCATCCATGTTGAGAAGATGCAGCCCGATCATCTTTCCAACACCGCAGTTCCTGAGAAGAACAACATCCTACAGCTACAGACCCAGTTGTGATTATACCACCTACTGTTATTGAAAAATGCTCACATATATGCCAAGACACGCGAGAGTGCTCCTTTAATCAAATAACATATCAACCGGTACAACATGTAGTTGCTTCTAATGTTCAACAACCTACACATCTCCAGCACACTTTAGACAAAGATCAGGTGAGTCAATCTTCGGATGAGGAATAGCAGGTATACTCTAGGTTACTACTGGTTACTATTGGCAATGACAATCATCTTACCAACTTATTAGCTTTTCCCTAAAACTAGAGGCAGAGGCAAGACCAAATTAACTCGCTCTCTAGCTACCTGATATTATGTATTTCGGCACTTTTAGGCATTTTCATTAAGTTTCTAATGTACTTTTTTGTATTTTCCAGTTTTGGAACCATTTGTGATTTTTGTGTGGGTAGAGTGTCATGCTTCGGTCCTCCCACACATTCTATCTGTATCTTTCTTTCTAGTTAATATATTAGTCTTTTTGGGCTTTCTAATATATATATATATATACATATATAAGCATATAGATATGTAAATGATATACCAAAATGCATTGAATGATTTGTATCATCTTGAATGATAACATTCGAAAGCACAATACTTTTGTACTTATTTATATTTTTTTACTAGCATGCATATTATTTCATTTTTTATTTTACTGCTACAGCTTAGAAGTAGGAGTTCACCAACGCTTGTAACTCACTAATGTTTTAAATTAGTTTTCAGGTTTAAAATTTTGTTTAAAGATGAGAGTAATTGAAAGAGAATGTCTATAGAAGATGTAGGCAACCTGAATTAAGATAAATTTAACTATATTACTTTAAGTCTTTTTTGTATCGACATTTATTTTTTGGTTGATTAAATGTTAGTTGAAGAAAATGAAAATAGAAAATTTTGATAATCACCATTCGATCGTCTTTCCTGTCTTGGACGGATCGTGCAATTGTGGTCATTTGTTCACAACTCAGATCATCTATCTCCTAGATCAAACTGTGATAGCCCTGCTGGTAGTATTAGAATTTTGTAATTCCCCACCTCGGCACATAATTATCGAAGATAAAAGATATGAAAGTTAAAGTGCTTTTAATTGTATAAAAATAGATATTTTTCTTTAGTTGAGACATGATGAGTGTAAAGGAAAGACCTACATTACAATTGATATTGAGAAGACATCAATGGTGAAAAAAGAACACAAATGACCCTCATTTGTTAACAGGTCGGCTTTTAGATAAATAATATTATCTACTTTCATATTAAATTTTAACTTTATTTCCATTGAAATAGTAATCTGAAAATGGCTACTTTACTATGGTTTAATTAAATAATTATAAGCATAGAGAATGTGAAGATGGATGAGTGCTAAAATTAAGGAAAATAGAATATGAAATGAATGTATCATAGAGATTGAGGAAGTAGCCCTGTCAAAGATTATTTGATAGAAAATAAACTTAGGTGATTTTGGTATTCATAAAATAAGATAGAAAATGCCCCACTAAGCTTGATTGACATAAATCATTTGGAAGAACTAAAAGGAGATGGGATAGAAATCCAAATATGGCAAAAACTTATGCAAACATTTTGCCTAAAATAGAATCAACACTTCATATATCACTATATAAGAATAAGCAAAAAAGAGGATTCATAAAGCTAGCCTAAATAAATTGGACAAGGATAATGATGATGAGAATGACAACAGTTAGACTTTTAACAATTTGGGACTAGTAGTCTCAAAATAATAAGAATGCTATAGTATATGGAAAGAATAGCTACCTGAAGTTAGTGACACAAACCGAACGAATCCCGGCATCAGCAGCAGCTCGACATACAACAGGAACAACATCCGAGACCTATCTTTGTTTAAATAAAGTGTAAAAAGGGAATGCATTAGCACATATTTCAGATCCAAGGGAAAAATTATTCTGCAACAATCACAGTAAAATTGTAGTAGAAAGTAATGTAAGTTGTATGAGTGTATGTTAGTCACAAAAATGAAAAAACCAGAAATATAGAGAATTGCTTAGTAATGAGTTAAAATAAAACTTAAGGAAATAAATTACAAAATAATATTAAAAATTTACCACTAAGTCGGCCTTGATGGATTTTAGCCACTCCACTTCAGATGCTAAAATGATATTTCGGGGCTTCACTGCTGTTTGGCGGTACTGCAATTTGAAAAAAATGTTCATCATAGAATAAATGAAATCAGAATGTTAAATTCTATTCTAGTAATAAAACAAAGCATCTTAAATGCAAAAATAACCAAGGAATTTATAACCAATAAAAACCAGTGTCCTTCAAAGAGAAATGGACGGCATCATTTTATGATCATGGCAGTAATTTACAAGCAAAATGCTAGTAAACACACAACAAAAGGATTTTTATGGACAGCCTTCAAGTTTAAAGGATGGTTGATGCAGACTACAAGTTATTCGTCATTGACATCAATATCCTAATTGAAGATAAAGTAGATTAAAATTTGAAACTTTTAGATATATATCTTTTATTTGTATAATATCTATATTAAATTTGAATGTGAAGGTTATTACCTTAATTATGTTTTTTAAAAAAGCACTCTCACTTTTTTCTTAAATCATGCACACACTTGTATGTTCTAGGCCTTCAATTAAAATCATATGATTAGAGACAAAGTACCCAAGGCCAAGTAGGTTGTACATAAAATAGCCATTTAACTCTCTTTAAAACTTGATGAATTAATTAGGAGTAAAATTTCTCTCTTTCCAGAATTTGATTAGCCCGCTCTTACGTTCACTGAATTGTGCGTAGCTTACTCACCTAATATTGCCCAAGAGTTGTATGTGTAACGCCTAAATTTCAAGAAACCGGGTAAAGTTCAGCAAATTTGAAAAATACCCCAAATTTTACTTCTCCTGGAACTCAATCAAAATGATTTTATTAAATTTCATGCATGAAATAAACAAATTTCATATAAAGGACAATGCATGAATTGTTAACGGATTGGGAGATATGAAATTTAGAAGTTTTAAGTTTAATTAAATTAATTTACCTTAATTATTATCCTAATTTTTCCCTAATCTCAAGCATGTGCACTGTAGCCACCGACTCCCACACCTTTTTATCTTATGGTTTCTGTCGAAAGGGCCCAATATCCTTTGCATTCATTTCCCCTCTCCCGAAGTCCTCTCTCTATCTCTCTCTCTCTCTCTCTCTCATGATCCCTCTCCCTGTTCGGTTTCACGCGGCAGGAAGCCCTCCTGGATGAGTTTTGATCAACCCCTGTAGGAAGGCCGCGACCCTTGCTACAGTGCGAGGGATGAACAGCCACGAACAAGCAAGGAGGCGAGCGACACCAGGGAAGCCATAGGCCTTAATTCGAAGCCTTGGGGAGAATTTTGTAAGTATGAATCCTCTTCCTCACTATTCTAGATTTTCATTTTTTCCTCTTACTTTCATTTTGACTTTTGCCTCATTTTTCGTGCAAATATCATTTTCGGTAGCCATCGAAGGTGTTGATTGTGTGTTGGAAGCGTTGAAAGTCCTTCGAGAGCTTCCAGAAGGGTTCTTGCATGAAATCAACATGGGGGAGTTGTGGTTGGATGTGATAGATAGGAGATTAGATGGTTTTGGACAGATCGATTATGCCGCAAAGTCCATTTGAGGTATGTTTTGGCAAGTAAAGTATATTTTTGGGTTAATTCATGTTTTGAGCCAAATATTATGAAATCATATGTTGTCTACGAGCCCAGATTGTCTATATGAAGCGGCGAGCTCGAGACGAGCGTGTAAGCACTCGTGGAAGAGCTGTTCCGTCAAGTCGGTGAAATAATGTTATGTTGATTTAAGAAAAATAATCTTCTACAGGTTTTCATGGGGTTTCTATTTAACACAGATGCATTTAGAACTTTTTGCATATTGTAAATAGAGACATTCAATTGAACGTATAAATGCACGTTTACTTTTTTTATGATACATGTAATGTTATGATCAGGCTATGCTACCTATGATTATGCATATGATATAAATTTACCGCAGGTATTCATTTGTTATAATTCTTGCCTATGCATATGATAATATAATGTTTGATAAATACATGATGCAGGAGTGATGATTTAAATGCCACGAGTAATGTTATAGGTAAATTATTATATGAGTACTTACAAGAACATTATGTACGGATGTAGTACACCCGACTCCTGATATTTATACGAGGACAAAGCTCTGAAAACCATTAGAATTAGGCAATGATAAATTTTAGGGAATCATGGGTATCAGGGGGGTTGACGATAACTACTATGTTTAGGAAAATTCAACATTTATCGATAGTTTATATAACATTTGAGACCAGGAGATGATCCATGATGAAAAGAAATAGAAATAGTTGATCTTTATAGATTAGACAAGTGATATTACTATGATATGTTGTGAAATGACATTGCTATCATAATATAATATGAACATGTTTATAAATATTTTTTTTATTATACTTAAGATTTTATGCTTACGACTTACATGTTAAACTGTAGCCTTGCTTTTGTACCTGCTCTATTTTCATGTTTCTATTATGTCAGCATGTTATGATTTGTGCATAAAAATGTATTGTTTCATACAAGCATACATGTTATTTCTTTTTCATGTATAAAATTTTATTTAAGCCCTAATTATTTCTCTTAGCTCGGTGTTGCTCATTCCTCATTGTTGCCTTCCAGATAGAGGCAACGAGCACCTACGTGGGTAGTCAGGTGTCTTTATACAGCTTTTGCACAATAATTTGGGAAGCTTTGTACATATGTTTTGGGTAAGTATTTTTTTATTATATTGGATTTAATAGCTCTGTATAGTTTTAATTTTTTGGATGATATGATTTTCATGCTTCCTAATATGTATATGGATGAATTATGAAATACAATATATCACGTATATTGCGGCGATCCATTTAGGCTAATTCATCACCCACTGGGTCATGATTATAAAATTCAGTACGAGTACTAGTGAGAACTGGTCTGACCAAATTGTCAGTCTCTGTCGCACCACGATTGACCCTACCAAGGGTGTTAGTTAGGGTGTGACAGTATGAGAGAGTGAGAGAGAGTCGGTTCCCCGTTACATGGTAAAATTGCCTTCCTATGTCTTCTTCCATCCAAGTTGTTGCCCCTTCCTCTTCAAAATCCAATGCACCAATCTATCAAGTTGGTATTAGAGCCTATTTAAAACGGTGAATGTTATTGATAAATTACCACACTATAATTTCTATCTTAATGGTAGAATTTTTTTGTTTCCATACTATTTTATGTACTTTGAGCCGCCCAATTATTAGTTTAAATCCAAAATCAGCTATTTCTATTTGTTTTATCCCAAATCTGTTATTTTTTGTTGTTTCGGCCCCAAATCTTGTTGTTTATGCTGAAAAGCAGCACTCAATCCGCTCCAAAATTACCCTCTTTCATTAGTTCCCTCCTCTTTCCCCCCAACACCACCACAAAGACCCTAAACTCCACAAAAACTTAATTTCCACCTCTACATCCTCCCTTTGGAATTCAAACTTCAAATTTTAAAATCATTTGAATTTAAACAGAATTTGAATTCCTTAAAAAAATCTCCACACGACCCAACATTTTTTTTTTATTATTTGTTTAAATTTCTTGATATAGATTTGATTTCGAACTTAAATTTATATCATATCCAATCCCTAGAAGTTCTCCACATATCAAACCAACATATCTAAAAAACCTCATCATTATAAAATCCACACCCCCGAATGATTTGTATCATCTT